CATTTTTTGTTTGCATTTATGATTGTTACTGCGGACAAGGCTTCAAATAATATTGTTTTTATGTAAATCGTACTGCTACGAGTGTCTTGTAAAATAATTAGGAATAAATGAGCACTCATGTAATCCCACATACAAAAAAAAAACATATCATTTGACAAGGATTAGATTTTGGCGAATCATAAGTCCTTCATGGCTTCCACGAACATTACATTGAACAACAATCTGAGGACTTACCTTATTTGTATTGGATACCTAAGCTTCACAAAATTACGTACAAAGAACGGTACATTGCCGGTTCATCTGCATCTTCTTCAAAGGAATTGTCCATTAGATTGTAAAAAAATCTGTCCGTAGTGAAAGATCTTCAGAAATACTGTGAAACTGTTTACAACTCGTGTAGTGGTATTTGCCATTTGTGTATTATAAACTAAAACTCTAAAGAACTTCTGGATAATTTTAAATCTCATTCTTTCTCTGAAATTAGTTATATCGAAACCTTTGATTTTTCAACCCTTTATACCACCATTCCCCATGTCAAATTGAAAAATCGTCTAAAAGAAATAACTCACAATGCTTTTCAATACAAAAATGGTAGCATACGCTCTAAATTTATTGCTTTGGGATGCCATACGGCATATTTTTTTAATAGTGAACAAAAAGGTAAAACATGCTACACCAAGGAACAAGTGATCAGTATTCTGGAGTTTCTTATTGACAACATATTTTTTGAATTTAGAGGTAGACTTTTTCAACAAATTGTCGGCATTCCTATGGGAACGAACTGTGTGCCGCACCTTGCCGACCTCTTCTTATTTCATATGAGTAGGTGTTCTTTCGGACACTTGTCACAACAAGAAAATCAAAGAGGCCAGATCATTTATTTTCACATTCAGATATATTGATTCTTTCCATTAACAATCCAAACTGTTCTGATTTGGGTTCCATTTATATATTCGCCAGAACTAGAGATCAAACACTACAAAAGTCTAAGAGTCTGAAAAGACCAGTTTCTGTCTTAATTTGCATGAACTTTTACTCGACATTCTTCAAAAGTATGACTTGTGTCTTAATTTTTCTTGACAAATTTTCATTTATATTAAATTTGTATGAAATTTACTAGACATATTCTCGACATTCTGAATATGGTCTTAAAATTTCTTGACAAATTCTTGACATTTGAATACTGTCTTGAAATTTCTCGACATATTCTCGACATTCTTATTTTTTCTCAGTATGGCTTGACATATTCTGAACATTTTGAATCGTGTCTTAAATTTACTTGACAGTTCTGAGTTTTACAAATCATGACCAATATTCATGATATAACTTTAATCTTTATTTCTCTTTATATGATATACTGTTGTTTCAAGTTACACTTCTTTACAACAAAAATAAAACTTGGGCATGTAAAATAATTGAAAATTTGGGTATATAAATATTATTACAAATGCAAATATGGCTATGAAATCTAAAGTATACAATAATTCAAATGTGGGTGTGTTGATATAAAACAATTTCAATGTGAGTTTTTAAATAATTACAAATTTTGATTCCTAAATCTTATAAATTAAATGATTCAAACCAATCATACTGTAGACATATTTCATTCTACATTTATAATATTCAATGTTGATATGGTAAATAATTATTATACCAAAATGTGGTTTATATAAATAGCAAATTATGATGATATACAAATCATTCATTTAACAGAAGAAAAATTTGTGTAATGTCATCTGTTGGAATATATTAAGTATTACACATGGACAGGATGTTCCCCATAACATTAAGGTATTCCACACCCCAGAGTACACGCAACTGTCAAATAGAAGTTATTGCTTTACCTGTAACCAGCCATACAACTTATCAGTTGACCGACCATGCCACTACAATTTAAAAAGTTTGTTGATAGATGAAAATGAAAATCATCATTTTGATGAAAAATAGTTGAATTGAAATGGATTTTCTTCATCAAAATTATGAAGTTAATTATTTTAACATGAAAACAAATTGAATAATTCCCAAAAGATTAAAAGAAAATTATTATCTACTCCAGGAATAATAAAAAAAATGTATTTATAATGGGTCCCATCAATGATTTCTATAGAAATCATCGGTCTTATGAAATGGTTCTCAAACAGACTTGCATAATATAGATCTAAACATTTTTTTCTTTTCAGGAAGGAGTTATCACAAATATTTATTTTTGATAAAAAATTATAAAATTCAACACTCAAATTTGAATAAAAAATGTTTTTGGGTTGGAAATGAATAAGGTTTTTGAATCAAGATGGGAACAAATTCTTTGACCTAAACGAAAGCCCCCCCCCCCCCCTCTTTTTTTAGCCACACAAACCCAAAAGATGAATTGTGGGGTCCAAAAGAGATACAAGACACCTATTTTAGTAAAGCAAATTTGACTGGCAGTTTTGCGAACGGCAAAAATCGAAATGCTGTTTGTCAATACCTTCGACTTATATTCCAAGTGAAAACAATTACTTAAATGTTTAATAAAAATAAATCAAAATTAAACTACATGGGGGATTATTCAGGGTATTCCAACTTAGTTGCACCAAAAGGGTATCTTACTATACCAAATTAATCCTTGATTCTTCAAAGTTTAGTTTAGCCATAATAAAAAGGAGTATATAACAGCAATAGAATGTCATAAACAGTGCAGAATAAGTCTGTTCACATTTCAGGCGAAATTTATACTGTTGAGATAGTGTCAAGACATATTTAAGACTGTCAAGAATGTGTCGAGACATATTCAGACATTATTGAGAATGTCAAGAATATGTCGAGACATATTCAGACATTATTAAGAATGTCAAGAATATGTCAAGACAGATCGAGACAAATTTAAGACAGTCAAGAATTGGTCGAGACTAATCCAGACTCTTATCAGATGATACAGGAAGTGTCGAGAAATTTTAAGACAATGTTCATACTGTCAAGACACTTGTCAAGAAAAATCAAGAACCTAATAAGACAAATTCATACTATGTCAAGAATTTTTAAAAATTATTCAGACAAATTAAGAATGTCGAGTAAAAATTCATGCAAATTCAGACAAAACTGGTCTTTTCAGACTTTTTGAATTTTGTAGTGAAAGAAACAACAGACACGGCTTCCTCTACCTCGGATTTGATATAAGTGGTCATCTCAGTACCAGAATCTATGACAAACGATACAATTTTAATTTTGAAGTTATCAATTTCTCCCACCTTAGTAGCAATATACCAACTTCACCTGCATATGTGAAATACATTTCTCAACTCATTCGGTATATATTCAAGCTTGCAGTTGCTACTCAGACTTTATAAAATGTAAACAGTGTCTGAGCAGGAATTCGGTGAGCCAGGGTTATGTCAAGGCACGTCTCGTCCTCTTTCTTAAAAAGTTCATTGGAAGATACCAAGACATTGTTGATAAATATTCCGTATCAACTTCTCAAATAATACATAATGATCTTGAAATATAGACTCTAGGTACTGACGATATCTATTATCTTAATTACGTGTTATAGTGTTCAAATTTTTTGTCTGTTTATTTTAAATCTTTACTGTTAAGTCCATTTTTGGTTATATCCTTTTGGTGTGGCTCGGTATTTATACATCCCACATTGTGTTGTTGTGCTATGGTCATTTTTTTTTTGTATTCTTGTCTTTTATTTTTGTTTATGTGCTTTGTCTACAGAGTGTCTATAAGCCTGTCTCCATAGTTATTTGTTTTTATAGTGATTAAGATTATAACACAATGTTTACTGCTGCACCCAATTTTTGACATTTTTATTATTTATTATGTGTGTTTGTTTTGCTACACAATGTTTTCAGTATAATGCAATTTTATACGACTGTCATACAAGTCAGAGGTATGCCTGTACCTAGTCAGTAATATGACAGTTGTTTTCAATTCGTTTGATGTGTTTGAGTTTTTGACTTTGCCATTTGATAAAGGACTTTCCGTTTTGAATTTTCCTTGGAGTCCAGTATTTTTGTTATTTTTCTATTTCAAAATTTTGTCAACAGCTTGCCAGTGATGCATTGCAATGTGTGAGTACTTTATTGTATATTTGTCAGATAACTACTACCTGTTTACTGAAAATTCGAATTTTTAATAAATTGAGTGAACTAGTGTAATTTTTCGTCCCGTACCAGAGGAACATAATGACTTTTTATTCGGGCAGCAGCTGAACAGTGATAAGTTCTAGCGTGAGTACATTTGTAAGACACCCACTGGTTCCCAATACATGAATTACGAGTGTGGTGTATGCTTAGCACACACGAAAACGTGATCATTCTGATTTTGTTTGCATCATGAAGACACGTGTATTTTACCGATGACAATACGTACATAAAAATTATTATATCTAAATTTAGCTGTGTACGTTATCTTATTTAACGTCATTTTGTCCCAGGTTAGAGTTGTCTTTGTGACATTGTTTTACATCTTTTTTTATTAATATTGTATTTATATTTGTCATAGATCAAATTTATTCGTTCTGTGTATGTTTACTTGTTTTTTTTATATTCTCTTTGATCGAGTTAAGCCATTTTGGATGGAGAGTTGTCTCATTGGCGCTCATACCACATCTTTTATATATATATATATATATATATGTATCTAACTATCGAAAATGATAGCAAACAATTACTTTGACAGTTTTCGATATGTCATATAAAAAGGCTTACATGTTTACCATACGTAAACTGAGATGGATTGTATTTGTCACATCATGCACACTTATATTTAAAGTTTTATTATTCACTAAGTGTTGCACTATAAGGTGAAATATTTTAATCAAATTAAGTAGTGAAAACACCAAACCAATGTTAGCACATGAGTTAATTTAATGTTTTTGTAACATAAAAAATGGAGATAACACTTTATAAATTGTATGCGTCCGCTTTTCTAGATATATCTTCTCCAATAAAGCCACATATTTGAACCCCAAGTACCGAACCACGTGAAGAGGCTTAAAAGTTAAAACACAAGAGTGAAACAAATCAACTACTTTAAAAACATTAACAGTTGTTTAGTTATGTGAAATTCTTGCGTTATAATTTCACTATCAAATCGGTGAGTTTTGGGTGCGATTTTAGATCTTTTATCAACTGCATTGTATCTTCATGTAGTTTATTTATTGCTTCCTGTTCACTTAAGTGCCGTTTATGTTGGTATTCACGTTCACTGGTATGTTGTTTGTGTTGTTTCTCTGCATTGTGTAGATTTTGTTTTGCAAGTTCATTAAGTCTTTTAATCTGTTCATCTGCTGCTTCTTTTAGGTGCTGTAGGTGATTTAAGGAGACCTTTTTTATATCATAAATATGTTTGTCGGCTTCTTCCTTTAATTTCTCAACGTGACTATTTGCCGCATCTTCAATGTTGTTGGTATGATTTTCAGCCGTCTCTGTTATGTTTTTGATATGTTCTAAAGCAATTTTTTTATGTTCTTGAACGTGGTGATGGAGATGATTCTTTATGTTTTCTAAGATCTGTTTGTTGTTGTGAACTGAAAAAAATATAATTGCTTTTAATATGCGAAAGTGTTTAAAAACAAAATTAACGGTATTGATGTATAGTATATTTTTACAAAACTCGCAAACGTTCGAAAACTACCAAAACTTTACTATTGCCTGAAATAAGTACTACTCCAATATTTCAGTGAGTTTTTGCATCTCATTTATATCCGTGTACTGGAAATGAAGGAAACTAATGAAACAAGAAAGTGCGCTTTATAGCTTGATGTTTCACCGATATTGACACAGATGGATCACTTCATCTAGAATCTATGACTTTAACTTCCCAATCGTAAATTTCCCATTTCCCAGCAGTAACATACTCACTGTACAATCGTATGGCGTATACATATCTCAATTAATACGCTATTTTCGTGCATGTTCACACTTTAAGGATTTTATCAACAGCTTTTTACACAATAAAAGAATTATGAGGAAGAACGACACTTCATAAGTCTAACGGTAACTATCACAAATTGGTTGAACGATTCGATATGTATGTCTCAATTCACTAGAGACATGTCTTTGCTGTCTTATGTCTTGTCTTTTTTATTTGTTTGTCATAGCACTATTTTTACATGTTAGTGTGACAGAATACAGGTTATACGGTTAAATCAATGATATAGTTCGCTGACCACAATGAATCTTTGCAATACCACAAGCTCAAGTGTAATGATTTCAAATCATGGTATATGTTTGAATACATGCTGATAATTATTGTTAATTTCCTATTATGATTTCCTTGATAGAGGATTGATGATAACAAGAAAGTTATTAAACCAAGATTTCAAGTGTTAAAGTTGACGTCATCTCTTCAGAACTTTTACGGACGCCATCACTAGTTGGTTGACTGTTATGCAATATCAGTATCACAGATGGCCTACCGAACTAGACTTATCAGTACTAACATGAGCGAAACGACGGATGCAGCATATAGAGCAGGATCTATTTCCCTTTTGGAGCACCTGTGATCAACCCCGTTTGCTGGTGGAATCTTTGGTTTTCTGTGTTGTGTTTTGTGACTCTATGGTCTTTTGGTCGTTTTTCGTTTGGTTTTTTTTTTTTTTTTTTTTTTTTTTTTTTTTTGCCATGACATAGTTAATTTGTTTTCGACTAATGAGATTGAATATCCTTTTGGTAACTTCTACATCTCTTTTAATTTTAAATGAATTTCTCTGCGACAGTTTTAGCTGATCATGAGTCGGCTCATGTAAAACAAAGAACTAGGGACTATAAAATAGCCAATTAACGCTTTATATTTATTTTATTTAATCAATTTGATCGGACCAAAACTAATCGGTTTTCTTTCAGAAATTTATATCATATTTAATCGATCTTTCTCATTTAAAAATGTTACTTATGGTTAAAATTTTTATATCTTTACATGTATAAACGTCGTTATCATTGTGGTAACTTGAAACAACATTATACTACTGCACGAAAACATGCCAAAAGTGTGTATTCTTAAGCTTTATACCTTGAATACTTGTGTATAGGTGACGGCTTCCTAACTGCACAAAACACACATTGCTGTTGTGGTATGATTGGTTGCACGTTTCCCAAAGACTTAAAAATCTACGCCGACTACAACTTAGACGGTATCCTAAAATGAAATCATTCTATTTTTTTTTAAATATAGTAAAATCTTACGTAGTGTTTTACATGGATAACAGTTAACAGATAACAAAACTGAGGTAAATTGAATTAACTAATCAAAATATTTCATGATCGAAATTTTTTCTCAGTATTCTGTAATTAAAAAAAAATCTTTCAATTACATTATAGGAAATTGGTTTTTTTTTGTTTTTTAATTCTGGCTTTAATATTATTTATATTTTGATAATTAAAACATAATTTTTAACATAAATTTTGTTAATTAGAAAATCGTAGACATGGAAGTTTCTGGAATAGAGCTACAACTAAATCAAATGGATAAAAGGCCAATGTAGACCTCCTTTGATCGTAAACATTTTTCATATATGCATTGCTTTAAGCAGTTTAGGGGTGGGCGTTCCTGATGAAAATAAATCATTAAAGCGTGCTGAACGCACGAAATTTATCAAGTTATATATTCTTTTAGAACCGAAAAACATGATAACCTTAATCATTTAAAACTATCATTCGTAGTTGAAACGTCAATATTAGGGTAACCATAAGGTTTATATACACTTAATATAACATCACGTAGGGTTTTATTTGCTACAATTTTTGTTTATATTTAATATGCTTAATGCCATATATATATATGTTCCTTTATCCTTTAAATGCCATTTTGTAAAATAAAGTGAATGTATACAATGAAACAGCAGACAATGATTTTGATACAATTAGATATTCACTTACTGTTTCCTCTAAAGTAAATTATCCCATGTCTAATTTGTAGATTGTAGAATGCGTGACCATAACCACGACTGTGTCCGTGAACATGCCTGTGAATATGAAAATGACTGTGAAAATGACTATGAACATATCCATGACCATAAACATGCTTATGTCCATATCCGTATCTATATCGATGTTTATGTCCATAATGCTTATGATTGTATCTGAGTAAGTGTCTCCCTCCATAGTACTTTCTTCCGTACCTTCTTACGTGTCTATATCGATGTCTATGTCCATAGTGCTTATGACTGTACCTGTGTAAGTGTCCCCCTCCATAGTACTTTCTTCCGTACCTTCTTACGTGTCTATATCGATGTCTATGTCCATAGTGCTTATGACTGTACCTGTGTAAGTGTCTCCCTCCATAGTACTTTCTTCCGTGCCTTCTCACGTGTCTATAGCCTAACAAAAAGGATAATAACAAATGCTAAAACGTTTTGTTATATGAAAGAAATAATGAAAAATATGTAGTTAATTCAAAGCGAGACAGAGTGCGTCTTTGAAAACCTTCTTGTGTACTCCTTTGATAATATGTGAATGAGACCAATAATCTGAGATGGACAAAACAATTGACTGTGTACAATGTATAAATTGTCAGATGATTTGGTTGTTTGTTGTTGGTTATAGTATATTTTAGTTTCTTATTAATATTGGTCTATAGAGATCTGACCAATGATCAAATAAATGTAATAAAAAAAATATGTTGGTTATAGTATATTATAGTTATAAATTTGGCTATTCCACAAGTTTTAGACCCTCCCCCTGCCGGTATATGCAGAAAGGGAAAGTCAATAAAAACTGACAAAACCAAACACTTGACTATAATACTCAATGGAACGACTGTAAAACATTTGTCATAATCTCTAGTGAGCAAGCATTTGAAAGAGTATAACAAAAATACTGAACTCCAAGGTAAATTCAAAAAGAAAAAGTCCATAAAAACTGAAAAAAATCAAACGTTATCAACCAACGGAACAAGAGGAAAACAACTGCCATATTCCCGAATTGGTACAGGTATTTTCCCAAAGAAATATTGGGTTAAACCTTTTTTAATAACTACCAAAGCCTTAAACGTGTATGAAATTAATATATAGTTTCGTTATATTGACAAAATTGTGTAAGCAACCAAAGCAGACATAATCGGTTATCGTGACAATAATTCAGATCCAGCAGCCAAAATTAGGTCAACATACACGGTATGAATTATTCTCCTTCAAATAATGATAGTATAAAGATTACAATCATTATACTGAGTATGCGAAGGGTTGTAGATAAAGTAATTTATATTAATTAATAGAGATAATTCAACACAACTTGAAAGGAAAAAAGTAATAAAAAATGCGTTTTGTAAACACGATGATCATGTTTGCTCAATCTGATTAAAATACAGATCCTGTATTCAACCTTTGCTTACAAGGATCTGACAACACTCGTTGTGTTATCTGCTCTGGTAGTTATTACATCTGCCGATGAAATTTCAGCCTTCAAATTTTTTAAGGTGTGTATTTATCCGAGAAAACCAGAGGATCCAGCTATATAAACACAAGTTAAACTCGGTAGTTATTTAGGATGAGGATGAAGCTGAAATGTAGCTGTATTTAGATTGATTTCAACTTTCGCGATCCTTACATATAAAGTACAGTCTTTATTTCGTATTTATTTTTGAATAAAGACTGTTTAAAAATGTCAAGTTGTTCCATTCTTAAAAAAGAGGTTGAAGATATACCAAGGGGACATTAAAATGCATAAGTCAAAAGAAACTGACAACGGCTGAAAAAAAAACTACGACTCAAAAGAGTTCACAAAACACTAAATATGTTATATCTGGGCTTTTTATAATTGGCTATGCGGTATTGGTTTGCTCATTGTTAAAGACCGTATTTGCATTTTTTTGAAGTTTCTTGTTACTCCCTCATTCTTTGTGTCTGTCTTGATTTGTATCTTGTTAAGAGATTTGTGAGATTTGGACATCGGTAAACTACTAAACTACTGTTGCCTCGAATTTACCATATTCGGCATGCGAAATATGGACATTCCGATTCGTTATATTACTAAATGTCAACAGTAAATAATCAGGAGATAATGTAACAGGCACTGAATAGATAAAAACAAACTTGCATACCTACACACCCATAATGTAGAAAACAATGCATATTTACGTATCCCAAAAGTAAATGGGAAATTGTTCGAATACAAACATATAATTTTTAATATAACTGTTACTTTGAAAAAGAAATTAAAATTCAATATTGAATTATTTAGATGTGTGTGGCATGAGGACATACAATGGACTATACATGTCGATTTGACCTCTGGTGAATAGTTATCTCATTGACAATAATAAATTCTTGTTTTCAAGTATATTGAAACCTCAACACATTGTTTCATGACCTATAAGTATAAATGCTAAATACATACGATTCCTTCCTCCGTATCTTCTACCGTAGGATTCTGCTGCTACCACTGAAGTAACATACATGCAAACATTATTGAATTAAAAGTAAATCATGAATAACAACAAAAGATAAAATCAGCCAAAGTTTATTGTTTAGCGATTTATCTGTTATGATCTTTATTGTTTGTTCTGGGGGAAAACCATCATATGAACAATGTTCTTCAACTTTGTACTTGTTTGGCTTTCTAACTATTTTGATCTGAGCGTCACTGATGAGTCTTCTGTAGACGAAACGAGCGTCTGGAGTATGTGATTATAAGCCTTGTACCTTTGATAACTAATTATAGTAACTTTTAGGTCTTTCACATGATTGCTATTAACAAAATGAAATGGTTCAGATCGCAAAAAGTAATTTAACCTTGACCGTTTGTCCGTTTGAAATAAGGGTTTTTCGTCATATTGGAATGTTTTGCTTTGCTTTGGTGGGATTTTGTTTCTTTGTTTTGTTTTATTATTTAGAATATCATATTAGAATATTGATAACGTCTATACAATGTTGGCACGTTTTTTTTATCGCTCTAATCGGTTCGATTTAAAGTTATACATATTGTAAATCTTTGGTAATACGCTCCTGACGTACTCAAGGTTTCATACATCTTTAAATTTTTTCATTTGAGCGTTTCTGATAAAGGTAAGTCAGGAAAAACGCGTCGGGTGCACCACATTTCCAATGTGTGTTTTCACTATTGAAGCCCTACATATTTTTTGTTCGTATCTTGAGATTAACATACAAAAGGCAATTTTAAACCAGACATAAGCTTCAGAAATTTTAAGCGCTATTTTTTTCTAACGAGTGAACTATAAAATCATTTTAAACAATCTATCTGTAAACACCATCAAATTCGAACACGGACAAGGAAAAAATCATAAAATAAAGTAGATTTTCTTAAATCAATTTTCAAACAATACAGTCTCTATTTAAGGTTTATGTGGACCTTTTGTCTAAAACGGCTGCATTTTCACCTCAAAATTTACTCTGAGTACAGACAAATTTGTGCATCTGGAAAAGTTTTAAGGCATAGCATGCCCTAGATAAAAAAATTCAAATATATTTTATGTTTTAGAAAATTAAAAACTTAACCGGATTTTGCAGTGCACTTTTTTTTTCATTCCTCCAGAGGGTGCCAAAATAAACTAAATTGGGAAAGAGGTTAGAGAACTTCCCCACAGGTAATAATTGAAGTGAACTGTTTTGATTGACACGGACAATAGATGGACAATAGATACCTGACAATAATTGGTGATTTAAAACTTTTCCAGATGCGCAGGTTTGTCCGTACTCAGAGTAAATTTTGAGGTGAAAATGCAGCCATTTTAGCCAAAGGGTCCACATGAATTTTAACATTATTCTTTAACTATAAGTATGTCCCAAAGCGATTTACACTGTTTTTTATATGAGAACAATATTGCTTTCTATTGACACATAAGAATTATTGATAACACAAGATGTGGGTAAAGTCATCTAGAAAGCAATCTTTGAATACAGCAAAATCATGCCATCAAATATTTGTTGCTTTTATTACCTTTTTTGTAATTTTTATAATACATCACTGAAAAAATCTAAAATCAGATTAACTCTTCGAAAAAGATTTTTGGAAAACAGTTGTAAATTGCGGGCTCAAAGATCTTCAGAAAATGTACCTATCTCGGAAAACACAGCTAAACGAAGTCAACAAATTACAACAAAACAGATACATAATCTTGTCAAATTCACGCTTGAAAATGACAATTCTGAAATTCAACAAATATATTCAATCAAACATATATAAGTAGAAGCACATTTGTATGACACTGTAGTTGATTTAAAGCTTTGTCAGTATGAGGTTACTTAAAAACTACAAATAGTACGAAATCATATTATACCTAGTGCTGCAAGGATTAGTAGGATGATAAACAATCCCCGCTTCATGATGAACTTTGTTTTCAAAATACAGCTCAAAGATCTGTGATCTCACTTGTTCGATAGTATGAGCTGGCTCTTAAAGAATATCAGTTGTGTTAGTTATATAATACATAGTGTATCGCAAGGTGTTACCTATTCATATATGTAATAGTACACATTAAATGTTTTTTTCTTTTAAAATTATCATTGTTTTCATTGAACATTTCCTGTTTTTGTCATGTACAATTTGAAGATAACAACTTTTATCTTCGTGTAATCCTTTGCCAACATGATATTTCATCAAAGGGTAAAAAACTGAGTAAACACGATAGGAAAGAAACATCACCGTTTTTAAAAAGAAAATAAAGGACCAAAATCATTTATTGTTACATTTAGTGTGGAGTTTCATTTATATGAAACTGAAATATCCAAATTAAATGAAGAAAGTTCCAATGGATAAATATCCGCATTATATAGAAATTTCATCGTTATTTTAAGCAAAATATCATCAAGGTAATGGTAAGTCTAATCAATTATTTTCTATTAAGTGGAATACAGACGTATTTCTTCTAAGTTCGATCATTTACTGTTATTCATAACCGTACAAGCAACTCTGCTAAGGGGCCCATACGAATGCATTGAAACTGTTAGTAAACTATTTTGCCAGAGATGTTTCAGTTCCAGGAAGTATATCTAGCATATGTATCTTTTTACTTACAAGAAAATTCTTTTCAAATGCATTACAGAAAATAAGATGTTTTCCTTTCTCCAACTAAATGACCATACTATTAAATAAGATAAACTGTTAACACAGAGATATGTCTCGCCTATTTGTTATTTTGATAATACAAATGTTGAATACTTTAACATGTAAGTTATGCAAATATTAAAAGTCAATGAACAATGACTAAAGGTACAGGGCTAAACAATCTCCATGGAAATGAGATGTGCCAATGCTAATACAACTGCAAACCAAATACCATTGACTTTTCATAAGTCGTTCCCTTTAATCAAACCTAAACACAAACATTTACTTGTAAACTATGTAAAAGTTTCAAAGTCAATGAACCATAATTAGGGGACTGAGTTATATAATCTCTATGGAAATGAAACATGCAAATGCCTACACATTTGCATACCGAATGTCATTGACTTAACATTAGTGGTTCGTCTTAAACTGACCTAATCACAAACTTATACATGTAAACTATGCAAAAGTTTCAAAGTCAATAGACCATGACTGACAGGTAAGAACCAAATATTCTCCATGGAAATGAGATGTGCTAATGCTTATACAACTGCATACCAATTATCATTGACCTACCACTAACGGTTCCCCTTAAACTGACCTAAAAACAAACTAATACATGAAAACTAAGCAAAAGTTACAAAGTCAATAGACCATGAATGAGGGGGCAGGGCCAAATAATCTCCATGAAAATGAGATATGCCAATGCTTATTCAACTGCATACCAAATATCATTGACCTTCCACTAGTGGTTCCCCTTAAACTGGCCTAAATACAAACTAATACATGTAAACTAAGCAGTTTCAAAGTCAATAGACCTTGACTGAGGGGACGGGGCCAAGTAATCTCCATGGTAATGAGATGTGCCAATGCTTATACAACTGCATACCAAATATCATTGACCTACCACTAGTGGTTCACCATGAACTAGACCTAATCACAAACTAATACATTATTGACTCCGCCGCCACCGCCGTCGTCGTCGCCGACGCCGGAAATAGCATACATATGTCATGCTTTTTGACTCCGTCAAGGCGAGACAAAAACTACATGTGTTGTGGTGTAGAGAGTTGAAATCTGTCGACCAAATCGGTTGTACCATTTAAACAGGTCATTCATTTAAAACATTCAAACAGTTTCTTACATTCCAAAAACAATTAATGTTATTGTTTTTATATACTCTATTACAAATGTGACAGTACTACGTTCTTTAGTTTGCCTTCAGTAATTACTAGAAATGTTTGAGTCGGTATTAGTTGGTGTTTTTCTTTCTATATTGATGTGACTCTTCCTTGCTAGGAACTTTGTCAGCGGTTATTTTCTGTCATATCAAAATGTTTTTTGTTGTTTAGAGAATTTTGTATTGTTGAAAAAATCTTTGACAGTTTTACTAGATGTTTATTTCCAATCGTTTTCTTAGTTTTGCCAGCTCTGAATAATATGGTGTACATAACCATATAAGATAAAAAATATTTTGTACTCTTATCGGTTTTGATTGTGTTATTAAGGTCATTATTTAAAGAAGATTGGTCTCATTAGTTCAGCTTAATAATAATGACAGATCATCATATTATTGAAACATTTGCCTGTATAAATCAATTTGATAAATATATTAATATATAAGATTGACTCATTGTTGTCTGCAAATACTTAAATCTATAAGATTGACTCATTGTTGTCGGCAAATACTTAAATCTTATAAGATTGACTCATTTTTGTCTGTAAATACTTAAATCTTGTAGGATTTAAAAATCAACGCTAAAATCTAATATATAGACGAAGAATAAATTATTCAGATGTTCACAAATGAAGTATATCTGTATTTTTTAATTCTGTTTCCATATTTGCTGCAAGGCTTCAAATGTAATGCATTGGATGTAAATCTACAAATACTCCAAAATACGCATACTATTTTTTGTATTCATATATATAAGAGGATAAAAGGTATACGTCAATGAGACAGCAATAAGTAAATGAGAAAAACACGAAAAGACAAATAAAATAGAGAAAGAAAACAAACAAGTACTATCTTTAAAATAAAGATATGTGACGCCTTCATATTTTTAAAAATTATATTTTAAAGTTTTTATCAAATTTGAATGCCTTATATTTTACGTCAAAAGTCTGACAATTTTGAAAAATGAGCACACAAATAACAAATAAACATATATATCACAGATGGATATTTCCGTGTAGCGTTTCATATTGCATGTTCATATCTTTTTGGTTGGTTTGAATGTTAACGTTCTTTCAAACTTTGCAAAAAATACAGCATGGATGGATGTGTTCTAGTGTATAGTCTATATTGAAATTCGAAATTTTCCACTACTTTATATTTTTTGTTGTAGTAAAAAGCTATCCTTCAAGAAAACATTAATTGTATAATTGTTATAAGATAGGATCTCTATTTAAACTATTACAATCTGTAAATAACAAAATATTAAACAAACATATGTTCAAACACCGCCAATGCAATTTTCGTCTAACCATAGAACAGGTCAGCTTAAAACTTCAACGCTGTTAAATTAGTTTAGCATACTTAAGATGACAATATCGAAACCTTATATCGACTGCGTCGAAAAAACCAAACATGTATTAGTTGTCTTGGATTTGAACTAGCTGTCAATAACTGTGAGTACTCTTACATCAGTAGGTTGTGACTTTATTATTTTTGTGAGTTGTGTTTGTGCTTTGTGTTGATCTGATTAGTCTCTTTTCAACTAAATTGAACAGTTTTTACTTATGTTGTTGTGTAATACTACTACTATTCTGTCCAAAGTAAGGGGGTGTGGCGCTAGCAAACCTACCACTTGTGCCACTTGTAGCCCTGTCACATTTTGTATGTGCCTATCTCAAGTCAGTAGCCAATAGTTCAGTGATCGTCTTTGGTTGCTCTCTATCATATTTAATAATAATGTGTTTGATATGAATCAGGCCGTTGATTTTTCTTGTTTGAATTGTGTTACATTTGTCGTGTCGAGCCTTTTATAGCTCAGTATACGTTACAGGTTTTTTTAATTTGTTGAAGGCCGTAAGATTACCTATAGTGGCTTGAATCTACTTGAGTCGTTCTCTGGTGGATAGTTGTCGCATTAGAAAACCTACCACATCTTCTTATTCTTTATACAAACAAGCACGCAAAATTTATAAATATTATGAAAAAAGGGAGAGGGTCACCCCTTATTCCTACAAATAGGATGACAATTAAGTGGAATTGCTTAAGATAAAACTCATAAAACACACTTTCTGAATGTTTGTTTATTCCACATTGGATAGGAGGAGAGGGGTGGGGGGGGGGGGGGGGGTGCGATCTCACAAAACATGTTTAACCCGGTCGCATTTATGTGCCAATCCAAAGTCAGGAACTTCTAGCTTTTTTTAGTTTTTCGTTTTTTTTTTTTTTTTTTTTTTTTTTTTCATTTTGGTTCATTTATATGTTTCAGAGTTTAGTATGGCGTCTATTTCGCTAGCTAGTGTACATTGTTGTTTAGGGGCCAGTTGACGCACGCCTCCGGATGCGGGATTTTCTCGCTGCGTTGAAGACCCATTGGTGGCCTAGGACTGTTTTCTGCTTTTTTGTCGAGTTGTTGTCTCTTTGACACATTCCCCGTTTCCATTCTCAATTCTATCATATCTTTAGATGCAAAGCTGTATTCCTGATGGAGAAAAAGACTAATATCCTGCGATAAAGAAGGTCAGTAAGAAAGTGTCGATCTGTTGAGTGATATGTTTATACCCTCAGACATAAAAAAACGATGGTCTGAAAGTTTCCAACATGAAAACTACTATGATTGCCTTCTAGTGAGCACTATTCTGAAACAAAACATGAAATATCTTCCGAAATTTTCGTCGACAAATTAACAAAATCTGAAAAAAACAATACACAGTTTGAAGAGCCTAAAAACATCCATGCAACTAATTTTGCAATCCAATGTTGAAGATGTTGAACGATTCTCTCTGGGAAATAGTGTACGATATGATTTGTCGGAAAATTTGAGTGTATTTGCAATCTAAATTGAATAGAATAACATATAACACATACTAAGATATAAAAAGCATATTATCTTCAAATTCACTTGATTTGTATAGAATGATACGTTAGTCTGGGAAAACAGGATTTAATAATTGTTGTAATTGGTTTGAAACAGACTGGCAGTTACTGTGAGTACTATGGGATCGGTAGTTTGTGTCTTTTGTCTTTATGTTACTTGCTGTTATATTAAGTGCGTCGTGTCAATCTGATGAATCTAGCCATTTCTCACTGATTTTTACAGTTCTGATAATGTGATGTTACACCACTGTCGCATGATAAAGGGGAGTTTGATCGCTCAAAAAAAGTTTTAACCCCGATTCGTCTGGTATGAAATGCATGCTAAGCATGAGACGCTTACCCTGTCAACACAATCTATTGTAGTGAAGACGTACAAAGGTTCAAGTATAATACATGCATATCCAATCGACATTGAATATCACATGTTTACGTCTTGAATGTTGTTTTTCTACAGATCAAGGTATTGTCTATTGTTTTTCTACAGATCAAGGTATTGTCTATTGTTTTTCTACAGATCAAGGTATTGTCTGTTGTTTTTCTACAGATCAAGGTATTGTCTGTTGTTTTTCTACAGATCAAGGTATTGTCTGTTGTTTTTCTACAGATCAAGGTATTGTCTGTTGTTCTTAGTTTACGGTTGTTTATTATTCTCTTGATGTCTTCTCTTTTACCCAGCTTTATATGATATCAGTTTGCCTTTCTCTAATTGACAAAAATAAATGAATCCATAGGAACTTAGTTATCAAACATTATTTTTCTCCTACCTATATTTATAACAAAACCAATGACAGTTATAAATAAAACTACAGAACATGGAACCACAACCTGGTGTTGATTTTATAATTTTGTATTTACATAAACCTTTTATGCTTTGGACGTTTTTATAAATTCAGATATAAAGAAAATATCATGTTGAAGAACGAATTTATCATTCTGTATTCGATACAGCTATGCATTTAGTATGTTAAAAACTCACTGTCTCTATAATTTTATTGATTTGTTTTTAAGTGACACTTCATTTTTAGCTCACCTAGCCCGAAGGGCCATGTGAGCTTTTCTCATCACTTGGCGTCCGTCGTCCGTCGTCGTCGTCGTCGTCGTTAACTTTTTACATTTTGAACTTTTTCTATAGAACCACTGAATGGAATGAAACCAAACATGACATTAATATTCCTTATGAGGTGCTTACCAAGTGTTGTTACTTTGAAGCCGATCCATCATCCAAGATGGCCGCCAGCGGGGAACTTCGGTTAGCATAGGACCCTATGGACAATACATACAAATGTCTTCTTTTAGAGAACCACTGAATGGAATGAAACCAAACATGGCATGAATGTTCCTTATGAGGTGCTGACCAAGTGTTGTTCCTTTGAAGCCGACCCATCATCCAAGATGGCCGCATGAGTGGGACTTAGTTTAACATTGGACGCTAAGGGAAATACATACAAATGTCTTCTTTTAGAGAACCACTGAATGGAATGAAATAAAACATGGCATGAATGTTCCTTATGAGGTGCTGGCTAAGTGTTGTAACTTTGAAGCAGATCCATCATCCAAGATGGCCGCCAGAGAGGGACTTAGTTTAACATATTACTCTATTGGAAATACATACAAATGTCTTCTTTTAGAGAACCACTAAATGGAATAAAAATAAAACATGGCATGAATGTTCCTTATGAGGTGCTAAACAAGTGTTGTAACTTTGTAGGCGATCAATCATCCAAGATGGCCGCCAGCAGGGACTTCGTTTAGCATAGGACCCTATGGACAATACATACAAATGTTTTCTTTTAGAGAACCACTAAATGAAATGAAACCAAACATGACATGAATGTTCCTAATAAGGTGCTGGCCAAGTATTGTTACTTTGTAGCCAATCAATCATCCAAGATGGCTGTCAGCGGGAAACTTAGTGTAACAAAGGACCCTATGTGAAATACATTCAAACGTCTTCTCTTGAAGAACCACTGAATGGAATGAAAACAAACATGGCATGAATGTTCCTTATGAGGTGCTGACTAAGTGTTGTTACTTTGTAGCAAATCCATTAACCAAGATGGCTGCCAACGGGGGACTTAGTTTAACAAAGGACCCTATGTGCTGACCAAGTGTTGTTACTTTGTAGCTGATTTGTCATTGTGCTTACAAAGTCATTTTCTACAATTTCAATGAATTTATTGGTAATTTCTGTAAACTTTACAAAAGTCTTCAGCTTTTGATTAAATTAAAGGGCCAATATTAAACCCAATTTGGCCTCAATCATTATTAGGGTATCTGTTATGATTTTAATCTATTTTTACATGATTTTCAAAACGAAAGTAGAATCAGGTGAGCGACACAGGTTCTTGGGAGCCTCTAGTTTTCGTGCTCAAGTTAAATTGACTGAGAGTACGCTGCCATAATATGATTACAATATTTATGTTCATTTGTATTGAATATCATGCCTTGCCAATATCTACGTCATTTGGTCTCTGGTGAAAAGTTAAAGTTAAACTAAAAGTTTCATAATTTATATTTAATAATAATCTTTTTTTTCAGGCATACAGAAGAATCATTAACATCACGTACAATATGGTTGCCACATGTTGAGCAGGATCTGCTTCCCCTTCCGGAACACCTGAAATCACCCCGGTTTTTGGTGTGTTCGTGTTGCTCAGTCTTTAGTTTCCTGTTTAGTGTTTTGTATACTGTTGTGTGTCTTTTGGTGTTTTTCTTTCTTTTTTTTTTGCCATAGCGTTGACAGTTTATTTTCGACTTATTAGTTTAAATGTCCCTTTGATATCGTTCGCCTCTCTTTATTAACATTTTCTTGTCGAAAACATTTATCTTCTAATACAAATATAACCCATACTGGTGTCAGACCACCAATTCACTCCCTCCAATTTAGAACGTATGTAAAAGTAGCCCTACTCTGACACAAAATAGTTCTTTTGATGTCATTGTTTACTTAAACTAACCAACAAATTTGCAGAAATGAAACTTTTGGTGAAAGAGAAATATATTTAGACCATTTTGAGCTAAAATTTACTTGTCTATGAGTTTGCATTAAAAATTGAGGATTAATGCGCTCCATAGTATACTAATCAAAGATTTCCAGAAAGCCAGGGGTTATTTTTAGTAGTACTTGTATTCTGAGAGGCAGTTCTTTCTTAGAAGTCTTTAAACATGGGTTGAAAATTGGCATGTAGAAAGGTGATACACGTACAATTCAGGATATACCTACTTTCTATGAAGTTAAACTCAAGGTATATATTAAGTGAGCTGTGAAAATTGCAAAATTTGGTTGAATAGATAGTGATTTTGAATTGGTGGTCTGACACCTACTGGTGACCGGAGGTAATTTGTTTTAAATGTAGTAATACAATGATTCCTTGTGTCAAATATAATATAGGTATGTGCCTAACAAATTAATTAGGTTTTCGTGATGATGATTCCATAATTAGTTTGATGCAAGAGAACAAGAAACACGTAAGGTTTTTTTTTCAATAGAATATCATTTATTGTCTGAGAAGCATCTAACTGAATACATGTCCTACAAGAAAAGGAAAAAATCAATGAAACATTGTTCAATTATACAAACAAGATTTGTACATTAATGTGAATTGTTACCAATAAAGACTTACTATAAACAGGGGGAGAGATTGTCAGGTATTATTCCCTCATGTAACTCATGGCTTTGTTACCAATAAAGACTTACTATAAACAGGGGGAGAGATTGTCAGGTATTGTTCCGTCATGTAACTCATGGCTTTGTTACCAATAAAGACTTACTATAAACAGGGGAGAGATTGTCAGGTATTGTTCCGTCATGTAACTCATGGCTTTGTTACCAATAAAGACTTACTATAAACAGGGGAGAGATTGTCAGGTATTGTTCCGTCATGTAACTCATGGCTTTGTTATCAGTAAAGACTTACTATAAACAGGGGGAGAGATTGTCAGGTATTGTTCCGTCATGTTACTCATGGCTTTGTTACCAGTAAAGACTTACTATAAACAGGGGGGACATTGTCAGGTATTGTTCCGTCATGTAACTCATGGCTTTGTTACCAGTAAAGACTTACTATAAACAGGGGGAGAGATTGTCAGGTATTGTTCCGTCATGTAACTCATGGCTTTGTTACCAGTAAAGACTTACTATAAACAGGGGGAGAGATTGTCAGGTATTGTTCCGTCATGTAACTCATGGCTTTGCATTACACAAAGGCAAATAACATAAAAAGATAGCTTCTCATAGCTATTTTATGCACATTCCCGTTCTCTATTCCTGAATTGGGACATTATCAAATGAGACTTATCACCGGATTTGTACTTTCCACGTTCTACAAGACGAATGCCAGAAGTAGAGCATGATCCGTTTTCCGTAGCACGGGAGATCACCTACAATTGTGGTGGGGTTCGTGTTGTTCAGTCTTTAATTTGTTGAAATGTTTGTCTTTTATTCGTTTAACGTTGTTTTGTCATGACATTGTTTTTTTCTGTGTGACTTCCGTGTTTTAAATGTCCCCATGTTATCTTCCACCTCAATTCGACGAAGAAAGCCTGATTGGACAAGTAGCAACAGTAGTTTTGGACTGAAAATTTTTTCGATATGACTAAGCAACAATGTGTGTTATTCCGAATAAGCCATCTATTCTAAATAAGTTTGTGTCCTTTTGTTATAAAAGTTCTGATGATAATAAAAATAGATGTGATAAATCTTCAGTACTTATAAATGTAATGTTGATCATATAAAAATACTTATTTTGATGTTTGAAAAACTCTGTGACTTTATCGAAATAAAGTTTGGTTCAAAACGATATCTGTCTATTTTTAGTTTCTATTTTTTTTTAATGGGTTCAATTTTAAGGAAAAATATATTCTAACAAAGGGTAATTATTCAACATAAGGTGCCTACTTTTATAACCTCTACAGCTGCATAATAACTTTCTCAATCTGCAAAATATATTTTACAAAAGAATTTTACCTTGGTAATTCATTCAATATTCGGTGCCTGTATTTGCTAACTCCGCTGCTGCTTCGGCGCCATTATTTGCGAATTCTGCTGCTGCATTAGAACTTCCATGATCAGCTACTACTGGACCGTCTCCAAAATCTGCATCATCATATACCACTTTACTTTTGATTGCATATTCATGTTGTTTGTTTACTGCTTCCTTTTCGCCCAAGTGCCGTTTATGTTGGTATTCACGTTCACTGGTATGCCGTTTGTGTTGTTTCTCTGCATTATTAAGATGTTGTTTTACGTGTTTAGTCAACCTTTCGATGTGTTTATTTGCTGCCTCTTTGATTCGCTGGAGATGGTTTCCGGATGCCTTGTTTATATCATAGATGTGTTTGTCCGCTTCTTCCTGTACCCGTCCTACGTGACTATTTGCTACATTCTCAATGTTTTCGACATGGTTATCTGCAGCCTGGGCAATATTTTTGGTATGTTCGTAAGCAATCTGCTTGTGCTGTTGAACATGTTGTTCAAGATTATTGTCTAGGTCATCAAAGAATGGATTATTGTGGTGAACTGAAACAAAACAAGATACTAATATTAAGATTTTATTCAAAATTTCATGAAATAGTGATTAAAACCAAAATAGGGAATATTTCTTTATCAGAATTTATAAAAACGCCATGAAGAAAATATTTATTTTCAATCCAAAACGTAAAACCTTTTACATTTTGAAATGTCCTGGAACGAGTAGCCTAATCAAAGAAAATTTGACTAGAATGTGCTTCATTTTGTTATTTCACTTATGCACTTAATATCTTTTTTCATACAATTGTCTAAATACAACGATCCAACAAATAACACGGTTGTTTCATATACTTTGCATTGCACAATACATTTATTTTTTGAAACAAGGGTTAGATTTTTGACAGATAAGCTAAGCATTGCAAATATTAATTTTGACAAGTTGTGTTACAACATATGTGCATGTTATATCTCTTCCGTGGTGCTTAAGGCCACAATATCTGAAAGTCAAATTCCAATAAAAAACGTTGATAAGCTGATAATACCATACAGTACAGAAAGTTAAGCCATTCCCTGGAGAGGAATCAGTGCTTTGCCTTATAAGAAATTTTTTTTCTTTATTTGAAATGATTTTCAAAATTTTAGTACAGTGAATTACATTTAAAACAATATTTTTAATGTCAGTAACTGGGTTGGTGATATCCTCGGACATATAACCTTCAAATCGACTTTTTTTCTTATGTTTATATTTATAGCATAATTGTTATTCTTTCATTATGTTATTAGGTCTATCGATTATCGTGAAACACCACGAAGTCCTCAATAACAGTAATAAAATCAATATGAAAAATCAATATATTAATAAATCTAAAGTCAGTATTTTTTTTTTTTTTTTTTTTATTTTTTTTTTTTGGCACTTGTGGGTTCCCCTGATTCTGGTGACGGATTATCTTGAAACACCGCAAAGTCGCCAATAACAGTAATAAAATTAATATGAAAAATCAATATATTGATAAATCAAAGTCAGAATGTTTTGCATTTGCGGGTTCCCCTGTTTCTGGTGACGGAGACTGTCGTGCAATTAATCATAAGATATTCCTCAATTTGTAATTCTGATTACCAAAAAGATAAAAGATAGAAGGACAAATATTTTAATTTTTCCTGTTTATGGAAGTACAACTTAACAATCAGGCAGACTTTTGTATTGTTTCGTATCAGGTAAAGGATACAAAGAGATAAATAACAAACCGAATTGGAAACTTCAAGATAAAGTAAAGATTAAGTTCAAAACAAACAAAAAACGTTTACTAAAGGTAGCGTTTTATTGTCATTTTCAATGTCTTAAAATTGAAATTCCTACCAACGGACCAACATTAGATTCCGTTATTTTATGCTGGCGATTCATTGTTTTGCAATTTGATAAAGAAAATTTTTAAGTTTAGCCCTCAGTATTTCTAGTCAAATGTTTTGATATGGAAACGTTATACCTTAACATATGGCCGCCTATTATGTCCATGCAACCAGTCTCGCACTTTTCGGAGTTCTATTGTTCACCTTGATGTGAATCATATTCTTAATGGATTCATGAGATCTTCTGTATATCTGATAAAGATTTGAATACGGAAACTTCCAACTTTTTTAATTACGGCGTTTGTTGTGAATGACGTAAATTACCTGAATAATGTATCCCCGATGTGTGTTCTTATAGTTCACCGTTTTGGAGTATGCGTTCGTTAACTTCCGGATTGAGGGATATCAAACAGCCTTCATTGTTTTTGTCATTATATGAATAAAAGTAATCGTTTGTATTACATTTTTACAAGCAGCAAATAATAAACTCATACCAGAACAAATACTTAGCAATGGTTAATGTTTAAATACATGCAGATAATTGGTCCTGTTACTTAAAATGTATTTCTTCCGAATTGTCTATAATTTTTTGAATTGAAAGAAAAACAACCAAAAGATGATAGTCCTTTAGCTTTATACCTTGAATACTTGTATATAGATGACGACTTCCTAACTGCTCAAAACACTCATTGCTGTCACCGTAAGACTGATTGCACTCCTCCCAAAGGCTCAAAAATCTACGTCGACCACAACTTAGGCGATATCCTAGAGTAGAAATCGTACATTGGAATTGAATTACTCTAATTATTTCATTAACAAATACTTTTATGTTTATTTAATTCTTTGACATTCTTAATAAAAGACATCGTACGAGGTAATGAATTCATCAGATTGTGTTTATAAGTTACATCTCACAAGAAAAGCAGCCTTGTAAATTGTGATTAAATTCAAAACATTCAAGATTCATTTTTTTCTTTTCGTTCTCTGATTTTAATTTTGGACAATAAACACAAATTCGTAAGCACTGTTTTAGTGCTATTTTTGATTATACAATGTAGTCTAAGACTAAAAAATTTCTGGAACCAAATACAGGGCTAAAATCTCATGAATAGTGAAGAATAGGTATAACCGAAACTAATAAGATGCCGTAAACATAAAGAGTTGTTTTTCATACTTGATAAATTATCTATGTTTGATTATTCACTTACTGTTTCCTCCAAAGTAAATGATCCCATGGCTAACTCTTAGATTGTAGAATGCGTGACCATGACCATGACTGTGACTATGGCTGTGTCCATGAACGTGTCCGTGAACATGGACATGAGTGTGTCTATTTCTGTGAACATGCCTATGTACAATGCGATGTCTGTGAACATGCCTATGTACTATGCGATGTCTGTGAACATGCCTATGTACAACACGGTGTCTATGTATATGATTGTGTATACGTCGGTGATGGTGTACATGCCTATGTACAAGGCGATGTCTGTGAACATGCCTATGTACAACACGGTGCCTATGTATATGATTATGTATACGTCGGTGATGGTGTACATGCTTATGTACAAGGCGATGTCTGTGAACATGCCTATGTACAACACGGTGTCTATGTACATGTTTGTGTGTACGTCGGTGATGGTGTACATGTCCATGTCCGTATCTGTGTACATGTCCATGTCTATGTCGATGACTGATGAGAAGTTTGTGTATGTGTGTGTGTCTATGACCATGAACACGCCTATGTCCATATTTGTAGCCATGTCGATGTCTATTATGATGACTGACGACGTGTTTATGTATGCGTGTGTGTCTGTGAACATGAACACGCCTGTGTCCAAATTTGTACCCATGTATATGTCCATGTCGATGACTGAACAGAAGTTTGTGTATGCGTGTGTGTTTATGACCATGAACACGCCTATGTCCATATTTGTAGCCATGTCGATGTGTATGATGATGACTGAAGACGTGTTTATGTATGCGTGAATGTCTGTGAACATGAACACGCCTGTGTCCATATTTGTACCCATGTCGATGTCCATGTCGATGACTGACGACATGTTTATGTATGCGTGTGTGTCTGTGAACATGAACACTCCTGTGTCCATATCCGTATCTGTGTCTATGTCCAAGACGCTTATGACCGTGTCTGTATCTGTGTCCGTGTACTCCTACCTTTCGCCTCCTCACTCCATAATGTCTTTTTCCATACCTTCGGACATGTTTTCCTCCATAACGCTTTCTTCCGTACTTTCGAACATGTCGCCTTCCATAACGTTTAACTCCATATTTTCTTACATGGGACTTTTTTGCATATCTTCTAACGTGTGTACGACCTAACAAAATTTCACAAGTTCTTAAACGTCTTATAACATAGAAGAGTTAATAAAAAAAAAAAAACAGAAAGCTAATTCAAAATTGTAAAAACAGTTAAAATCAGTATCTTACAATCATTTATCTGTCATACATTAAATGCTTATTTAAATTTCCTAAAAAAAGTAACAAATATATGTCAAGCCCTTTACCGCTTCGCATTCTTGTGCATGTAAATCCAATGAGCATTGATTATGATACGTGCATAACAGTGACAAAGCTAAGTTTAAAAATATTTACTAACAATCGTTTTACATATATCTTACGATAATTTCTGTGATGGGAAACACGTCTCTTATAACTGTGCCGATGGGAAACTCTTTTGTGATAGTTCCTATGACGGGAAACTCTTCCATGATAACTCCTGTGACGGGAAACACTTTTATGATAACTCCTATGCCGGGAAACACTTCTATGTCCTATTAACATACAGATCGATAATATTTCATTTCATTTATAAATATGAAAATTAGAATTCGCGGTATAATTACCACTAAGACTACATCCATCAGAGACAAATAAGCGTTGAGTAAAGATAAAACAGTAACCGATTTGACAAAATGTGAAACAATACTTACAGTGAGACCATAGGCATGATATTAGCAAAACCAATCAAGGAAAACTAAAAAAAACTGAAGACAACCAATGGCAACCACTGAATTACAGGCTCCTGACTTGGGACAGGCACATAAAGCGTGACAGGGATAAACATATTTGTGAACACCCAATAAGATGGGACAGTGGTATAACAGAAAAACGTTAGAACAAATATAAACAAAAATTGCAAAGGTCTTGACTAATAAGCTAAGAACGAAGCACACAACTATTGATGAAAAAGACAAAATACATGAAGTATAGATCTAAGAGTACATACTTTTGCTTGAAGCTGGTTAAAACCAAATAACACATAATAAAAACTTTTATGCACTATTTTATATGTTGGGGTTAAAGATTTTCCCTCCATGTTGAAGGCTTTGCTGTGACTATGAGATTGAGAGCCTAAATGCCAGCACTGCTTTTAGTTTTTACATGTGCGCGTAGTGATTTTGTGTCATGAATTGATACACCATATTCTTTCTTATCCAGATCACCGATGATCACCGATGATGTCGTCTGTTTCATTATCGTCTTGTTGTTGTTATATATAACAAAAGAAAATGTGGTATGATTGCCAATGAGACAATTGTCCAACATAGTCCAAAATGACATGGATTTAAGCAACAATAGGTCACAATACGGCATTCAACAATGATCAAAATCTATATCTTATAGTCAACACAAAAAGGCCCTGATATGATAAAATGTGAAATAATTCAATCAAAAAATTAAACGCCTGATTTATAACAAAACGATAAACGAAAACCAACTATGACCGACAGCAACCAACGACAACCACTGAATTACATAGTCACATATTGAATGTAACCGGATAAAACATGTTTGCAAGTGCTCAGTCCTCCCTTAACATGTAATAACATAACATAAGAACAAACTGTAAATATAATCTAAATATGCATAGATCATCAGATTGGCATGAAGCAACAACAAAAAACAACTAACATAAAGAGAAACGACACGAAGTATCATTCTAAGAGTACTCGCAATTACCGACAGCTAATTCAAAGCTTATAACAATTAATAGATAAATCCTTTTCTCCCAGACTTAATAGATATAAGACGATGTGGTATGAGTGCCAATGAGACAACTCTCCATCCAAGTCAAAATTTATAAAAGTAAACCATTATAGGTCAAAGTACGGTCTTCAACACGGAGCCTTGGCTCACACCGAACAGCAAGCTATAAAGGGCCCCCAAAAATTACTAGTGTAAAACCATTCAAACGGGAAAACCAACGGTCTAATCTATATAAAAAACGAGAAACAAGAAACACTTATGAACCACATCAACAAACGACAACTGATGAACATCAGATTCCTGACTTAAGACAGGTGCAAACAATTGCAGGGGGTTTAAACGTTTTAATGGTACCAAACCTTCACCCTTCTCTGAAACAATAGTGTAAGTATGAATCAGTATACATATAACGGATTTAATGTAAATGCGTCATAAACAGTCTGTGAAAAACATGCTCTTGTGCAATTCCAAAATATGAAACATAACATAGACAGGATCTAGGTTCATAAATTTTCAAAAATGTATAGAAAAAAGTAAAATAACAAAACTATCGAACTCCAAGGAAAATTCAAAACGGAAAGTCCTTTATCAAATCAAAAGCTCAAAGACATCAAACGAATGGAAAACAACTGTCATATTCCTGACTTGGTGTATCCTTATGTAGAAAATGGTAAATTAAACCTAGTTTTATAGCTATCTAAATCTCTCACTTGTATGATTTTCGTATAAAATCCCATTAAATTGACAACAATGTGTGAGCAAAACAAACAGACATAATAGGTAAAAATGTCAAAAGTTGAGGTACAGCAGTCAACATTGTGTTATAATCTTAATCACTATAAAAAAAAATAACCATTTCAACAAAGAAAAACATAATGGCATATATACACTCTATAGACACAAAAATGACCACTACAAAACAATGGTGGGATGTATAAATACCTAACCACGCAAAAAAGTATATTACCAAAAATGGAATAAACAGTAAAGGTTAAAAATATACATTGACAAATAAAAAGAACACTATAACACACAATTAAGATGATAAACAACGTCAATACCTAGAATCTATACTTCAAGACCATCATGTATTATTTGTGAAGTTGATACGGAATATTTATCAACAAGGTCTTGGTATCTTCCGATGACATTTTTTAGAAAAAGGAAGAGACATTCTTTGACAAAACCCTGGTTCATCAACTTTCTGCCCAGACACTGGTGACGTTTTATAAAGTCTAAGTAGCAGCTGCAAGCTCTTGAATACCGAATGAGTAGGGAAATGTGTATCCCATATGCAGGTGAAGTTGGAATATTGCTTCTAAGGTGGGGAAAATTTATAATTTATATATCTACTTAGACATGTTTTAATTTATCAAAAACAAAATCAATGTACACAGATCTACTACGGTGATGAATTGTAAACATTTAACGATAAGTTTAATTTATTCAAATGATCAATGAGTTATCACGGATTGTATCTAAATTACGAGCTTTATAAACAACATTTATGTAAAAAGTAGGATGTAATATCCCGTTTTAATAAGAATACTACGGGTACAACCAAACTTCAAAAACAAATTTTCGTATCTATGAAAAGATTACCTTTTTATCGTTTTTTTTTTTTTTTTTGTTTGTTTTGTTGTTGGTTTATTTACATCGTATTGACCATCATGAAGCTTAATAAGTACACTTTTGTTTTATTCTCTTAGTTTGTTGGGTTTCTAACTCATATACATTTACCCAAAAAGATGTTTGTTCAAAATTCATAAACATTTGTTAACAATACTGACTGTATGAATTAAAGTGGATAGCTTATTGCGATAATAATAGGGTTTTTAATGCCTTTTAATACTCGTCATGCGATATATCGACACAAATAATCGTTTAATTTTATTTGTTTGTGGCTGCTTATGAGTGTTGGCGGATTGTAAAACATCAGTATTTATAAACAAATAGATTTGCATATATTTTTTTTTTCTAAATCAGAGTACAAATCGGATCTTAATTCATTGTTTTTCTGATAGCATTTAATTATCAAATTTGATTTATACGCAAACAAGGAAAACTAATGCACGACTAATAAGTATAAATGGTCGATACATACTGCCTCCTCCTCCGTGTCTTCTACCATAAGATTCTGCTACGACCACTAAAAAAAATAATACTTTATAAACTGATGGCGTTCAAAGTGCTTTTCTGGGTAAACCTTCATCGGGAACGCTCAAAGCCGAATATTTTGCAAGCCAAGCATGTCTTAGAACTGAAACAGGTGAAGAACTATATGACCAAAAAGGACCTAAAATTAATAAATTCCCTTGTAATCAATTACAAATTGTACACTAAACGCGTACCTTATCCTGTTGTCTTATTAATTGATGCGATATTCAACACTCATATCTTAAGCCCCATATTTATTAAGAAAGTAAATCTGCAAACCGTAGTTAATGTTTATCTAAAACAATGTCAGTAGGACAGTACACACTGATTACATATTATATACGGAATTATAGTATACCTAGTACTGCAAGGATGAGCAGGATGGTAAACAATCCACGCTTCATGCTGAATTTTGTATTCAATGTTCACACAAAGATCTGTGATATGACCAGTTCTGCCGTATCTTTTATCTTGGAGCTGGCTCTTTGAAAATATTTTTTTTGCTAGTTATATAGTAAATAGTGTCTCGCAAGATGTTACTTGTCTTTATATGTTATAGTACACATTTCGTGTTTCTCTATTCAAAATTGTATTGTTCTCATTGAAAACTTTCTGTGTTTGACTTGTACTATTTGAAGATTATAGTTTTGATCTTCGTGTAATCCATTGCCAACATGATATTTGATCACAGAGTTTAAAACAGTGTTAAGAGAAACATTGTTCAAAGACGGAGAACCTTAACCTCTGAATTTAGTAACTGTAAAGAAAACACTTGACCATTGTGAACCTCTTGATGCACACTGCACATTGCAGGTTTTACATAAAGCCGGTACATTGATAAAATGCAGTTATGTTTATTGTTTATTATAGCTATAAAAACTGAAATGACTTTGCATAGAAAAATCTGTCTTAAAATAAACCAGCTGCCGGTCATACTTGTGCCATTTGACTTCAGTACTTACAACTATGCTTGGGTTAAAAGTTATTATATTTAGAAAGCATGTTCCTTATCTTATTTATTTATTTATATGGGTCACTTTCACATATTTCGGTTCTTATATATCGTTGGCTTTTATAAAGTGTTGTTTTCATATTTTACAAAACCTTTACTATACCACATAAAACTTTCAAGTCACTCGAAACAGTAAGGTTGTTTTACCCCTACTCATAGCTAAGCAAGATTTGGTACAACTTTCAGAAATTATTAGTGTTCAATAATATCATCTATGTAATTAATCAGTTTGGTATTTTAACTCATGATATTTCCGTGCCACTGATGATTCATGTAGGCGAAAGGTGTACTTAAAAACAAATCTTGTAAAATGTATTTTCGATGAGTGTTTACCACCATTTGGGTGATGCCACTGCTGGTAGACGTTTCGATCGCGAGGGTATAACTGCCCTAGTAGTCAGTACTGTGCTGACATTAGATATAATTGATAAGACCTGTATCTGTCCGAGCCATTTTTTGTGATATTCCTACAGCAGGAATAATCAAATCCAAAAACATTTCAAAGCCAAGGAAGTTTCACACCTGAAAACGTTAGGAGCTAATTGACCAAACAGGTCCTAAAAAATATTAAAACTTCTCTAAAGTCAACTTTGCGTGCTGGATAAGGAACCTTAGTGTTTAAGTATTATCTTATTCAAAAAATAAGTTGTCAATGAGAAACTCCAGCATACTGGTCGATAACTTGTTCTTCGGTGTAGCAACTTTTATTATCGGGCTCATCTAAAAAAAATATGCCGAATTATATACCATAACAATACATTTGTAGCGTATGGTGCATTTTTTATGGAGGAAAGCATTGCGTATTATTTCTTTAAGACCGGTTTTTAACTTTTTGTGTGGTATGGCGGTGTAAAGGGTGGAAAAATCGAAGGTTTTGATACAACTTATTTAGGAGAATAACCGAATTTTTAAATTTTCAAGAAGTTCTTTTGAGTTCTACAGAATCCACTTATGGTTAATGCCAATGCGCGAATAAATAGTGTCACAGTTTTTCTGTAATCGTCTTCTCACTGCGGAGAAAATGTTGGTTAATCTAACGTACAATTCTTTGGAAGGACATGCACATGAGCCGGCAATGTACCGTTGTTTGTACGGAGCTTTGTGAAGTTTGGATATCCAATTGTCTTTTGGTCACTTTTTTTGAAATGGCGTTGTCAGCTTATTTTCGACTTATGAGTTTAAATGTCCTTTGGTATCCTTCGCCTCTCTTTTATAAAGAATCCTGAATGCCGGATTTTTATTATCAGACCGATGTTGATTCATCTTATTATGCTAATATGTTTGTCGAATTTCGCCAATATATAGTAGCCCATAGAAGTTAAACTCCGTAATTCCGTAATTTATTTATTTTCTTAATTTTAAATTATTCCGTAAATTACATTATCCATGTGTAGCAGTCCAGAGGCTCAAATACTTTTGTGTAATAGATTTTACCCGTTACATTACTAGTGAATTCTAAAGTAATGATAGGCATATTGCATGTTTTTCATGAGCTCTTTTGTTCCTTTTTTCTGCTGGAAATTTGAAATAATTGGAGCCTATTCACTATAACTAACAGCTGGGCTTTTCAAACAAAGTATCTGAATTATTGAAGTGATAATTACCTTCTGCTGTACATCAAATCAGGTGTTTCCCAAAGGATGTTCGATGGAACACATAAACCGAGTGCTACAGTGATCCTTGTAGCAATATAATTTTATGAATAAAGGATAATACTTTAAAGTTTTATGAATCATTTTGATGATCGAATTCAAAGGGCCAAAAATGTCCTGATCATACCTTCTTTAAATCACTGGAGAGAATATATCATGATTTGTTATACAATAAGGCATAGATGACATGATTCAGATATGGCACCATATTTTCGATTTTTTTATGCCCTTTGGAGGTGAATTTGGCCTTTCCGAGTCAAATGAAACTGGTTAGTCTTGTGTTGTTTTTAAAGAAATTTAGATGGATAACAGAGTACGATTTTGATGTCACCGTTTACGTGAAATGGTTACAAAATTTTCCCAAAAATATTTTGGCTGCAACCGGACCCACATAAAGGGGTGAGCCGGAATTCTTTAGGTTGAATTTGTGTATAGATATATTCCACTACTACCCCAGGTTGGTCACAAAGCATGTTTCATCCCGCCATATTTTGAGTGCTTTTTCCTTGCTAGGTACAAGAATCCAGTATTTTCGTTTGTTACCGTCTGCTGCATTTTTGTTTAATTGCAGGATATATGAGTCCATTTGGATTCATCATCTTGAAAGACATAAATTTTCTTTACATTGTTATAGACCGTACAATGACTTCTTATTGTTTGAAAAAATTATGCATTTTATCGATAGTTGTTTCATTGGTAATCATGCCACATCTCCTTACTATTATATGGTATAATCTATTTTCCAAACGACTTTATATGATAAATATTCTAATCTTTTTTCTTTTTATTTTTTATGACCTGAACTAAAAAGAGGTATTGCGGCGTACTAACCCATACACTCAGGTTAGGGTGAAGGTTGGCGCCTGTTAAAACGTTCAAACCCGCTGCATTTTTATGTACCTGTCCTAAGTCAAGAGCCTGTTGTTCATTGGTTGTCGTTTGATGGTGTGGTTCATAGGTGCTTCTCGGTTCATGTTTTTATATAGATTAGACCGTTGTTTTTCCAGTTTGAATTGTTTTACACTATCATTTCGGGGCCCTTTATAGCTTGCTGTTCGGTGTGAGCCAAGGCTCCGTGTTGAAGGCCGTACTTTGACCTATAAGTGTTAACTTTTTTATATATTGTGACTTGGATGGAGAGTTGTCTCATTGGCACTCATACCACATCTTCTTCTTTATATGAACGTATGCTCCGCTTCTGAAGACATACAAAGTTTCCTTGTTTAGTGTATCAACATCTAAAAAGAGTAAATCAATTATTTACGGAAAAGGAACAAATTGAAACAACTATGCAAAATGATGTGAACTGTTCTTGATTCAAAACAAAAATTGTGTATCACCTTGGTCATTGTTATTAATGATAACCTCACGGGACAAGGCATCAAAACCTCATTCATACAATATACATGATCTCAAACCGATTCACAGTTTAACTCATGTTTATATTTTCATGTTTATCTTCCTGGTCTTTCTCAACATCTTTAAAAAAATAATAAAGAGAACAAGTTATGTCAACATTATCTTAACTTCTGTTTTATGAAAATATGCTGTTGTCAATAACCATAGTTGTTTCTTTTGCTTCTAGAGGGTATATCCTTTTATTGATCGATACTGATGAAACTAAGCATAATGTATGTTATGGTTGATAATGTAAATAACTGAAAATTATTTGGTTTCTTTTAAGATGTTTATAAAGACGGAGAGGATAATAACTGAAATTAAGAACATGAGTAAAATTGTAACTCCATGTTGAAAAAAAGATGCTTTGGTTTTAATGTGTGGTTGGGTCGTTGTCCCATTTTAATCCTATTTTGGGGCGTTCTAAATTTTATTGTTTTTACTCCTATATTGGTGTTAAAATCTCAGTTTTTATAGAATTATAGTTTTAGGACAGCTGACTTTAAACAAGGACCTGCCGTATAAGTTTGCAAATTTTTTATTGTACCAAGTGTACTAGTTAGTAGAATAGACAGTTAAGTAGTGGAACAATGGCTCGAAATAAAACTAGCTGATTAATTATCGTAACTTTTATATACATGTAGAAAATAAAAATAGAATTAAAACCACAAACGATAAGACATAACACAATATCGAACCAGAATTACAAACGAAAAATCATAACTAAATACATGAATTCACACTCGGGAAAACAGTAATATTCGGAAATAGGTCAAGTTCGGTAAACCAGATGACGTAGATGGTAATCCACAATCTAAGAAGTGGTAAAAAAAGTCGTTAGTTTAGACACAGACACATCATATAGATCAATCAATTCGTGATGGACATCATTCATCAACGTGCAGACATCTTATACGTTCAGGTATTTCACATCCCATCTTTTATGGTAATATTCTATACAAAAATGTCGCCATTCACCTCAAAAGCTAACCAAACCTTTAAACAGACTTATTCAGAAAGGATATAGTTACGATACTGTTGACAGGTTATTAAAGATGGCATTTTTTGGAAATAAATTGATTCACTCATTAGGTCGTTGCATCGGAAATAAACACAATTATTATAAAACCAGTTGTTGGCATGATACAGGTTATGTTCTTCTCGTATATTATATTATGGTATGATACTAAACCCTAACGGGAGGGATTGTGCTTGATTTTCATATGATGAAGACATACCTATTCTTACATCGGACTCGTACTTCTTTTAAATTGAGTTTTTCTGTACGTATTGCTGTGTATTTGTTTATTCCACATTCAACGTTAGAGACATCATTGAGAGTAGCTGATGTATACAGACAATCACCATAACCGCGTGTACGTCGAGGAGAAGAGTTGTAAATATTTTTCAC